AACGTGCCAAGGGACGTGCCAAGTTGCAATGCTGACTGTATCGATCTTGATGCACCGTGCCGAAATCTGTGCTGTGCTGCGCCGTGCTGAATTGCGATGTGTTATGCCTCGATTGTGCTCTATAGCGTCGTGGATCGAGTCCTCCTTTGCATCCGAGTCCTGACCGAACTGATCTGGATCTTAAGCTCGAGCTGCCTCAGCACATAGTAGCTGCCCAAGAGCTAATTGACAGGGGGACATGCCAGGAGGACGCGACGCGGAACGTCTCAAGGGACCCGCCAAGCGACGTGCCAAGGGACGTGCCATGGGGACGCACAGCGGGACGTGCCAAGGAGACGCGCTACGGAACGTGCTGGGGACAAGCGTTTCGCTCGAGATATCCTGCCGACATCCTCAGAATTCCTGCGCGCGGGACGCGGCACGCGCGAGACATCCTCGGAATTCCTGCGAGCGGGATGTGAAACCAAACATTTCGTCTGAGACATCCTCTGAATTCTGGACCCCTACGAGGCCCCCCGCGAGGCCCCCGCTCGAGACATCCCACAATTTTGCAAAACCAGCGTTTCGCTCGAGACATCCTCAACAAATGTTGAAACAACAAGCGTTTCGCTAGAGACATCCTGTCAAAATCCAAAGAAATCCTGGCAAAACAAGCGAATTAGTCGACACATCCTCAAAATCCCTGCGCGCGGGACGCGGCACGCGCGAGACATCCTCGGAATTCCTGCGCGCGGGGCGCTTTTCCGCGTCGCGGTCAGCTCTGCAAAACCAGCGTTTCGCTCGAGACATCCTCAACAAATTCTGAAAACAAGCGTTTCGCTCGAGACATCCCCAACTCTGCAAAACCAACGTTTCGCTCGAGACATCCTCAACAAATTCTGAAAAACAAACGTTTCGCTAGGGACATCCTCAAAAATAATTCCGCCGGCCCTACTCCCGCACGTAATTCATCGCAGAATAATTTCGCCGGCCCAAGTCGCAGGGGGGCCGGGGGGTTAACCTACTAAAAGAGAACCCTGGGCCCGCGCCCTTTCCGGGTAATAAAAAAAAAAAAAAAAAAAAAAAAAAAAAACGGTTGCTCAAGACATCATCCACACATCCTCATGCTAGACATCCGCATGGGCAACCTGGACACGTGCAAACAAGCGTCTCGCTCGAGACATCCTCAACAAATCCTTATGCTAGACACCTGCCTGGGCAACGTGGACACGTGAAACCAAGCCTCTCGCTCGAGACTGCCTCAAGACCTGGGCACGTAAAATGAAGCATTTCACTTGAGAGCTCTTCTGAATTCTGCCCCCAGGAGAAGACTATCTGGAACATAAACAAGCGTTTCGCTCGAGACATCCTCCAGAAGTTCTGCAAAACAATCGTTTCGCTCGGGAAATTCTAAATGTTTAATTCGCCAGCCCTTTTTCGACCTCGTCGTTTATCGAAAAAAACGCTGCCCTTTTCGAACTTACATCCCCAGGACGAGAATTCCTTCCTCTTGGGCCCGGAGCGAAGGGTGTGAGATATCCGCCGTCAGATCCAATGAAATTCGCGCGGATCCAATTTAGGTTTTGGTTTGTGTTTCGGTGGATCCGGTTTCCGTCCGCACGGATCCGATTTCGGATTTGCTGGATCCGTGTTCGGTCTTATTTTTCACGGCGGATCCGATTTCTATCCTGTTGTAATTTAGACCATTAAATTTAAAAAGAGGGAACCGGAAGAAATCGGATCCACGGACCCCGCAAACCGCCGGTGTTGAGGTTCTACGGGGGAGGGGGGGTCGGTAATCAACTTTCCACGATGGTCGCTGCGTCGTCTCGCGCACTCCCATCAACTCCCCGCGCGAGCGGGCCCCATTCAGCATGAATACATACATCCCTCTCACCCCCGGTTGCTGCAAACAGCTCGTCTGGTCGCCGTCCGTTCGGCGGCGCCGACGTTGTCTCGCAAACTCCTCATGGCTATCTTCACCTCAAGAGGAAAATCTTTCGTCCTGCGCAAATAGCACCAGAAACAGGTTTACCAACTAAAAGAAAAACTTGGGCCTAAGCCCTTTCTGGGAACAAGCGTTTCGCTCGAGACATCCTCAAAATTTCTGCGCGCAGGACAAGCCATCCTCGAGGGGGCACGCAAAAAGTCAACATGTTCATATTTATTGTGTCCCAGTCGGGGCTCCAGACCTTGTTCTTGTCTCGAGGATTCTGCTAAGAATGCCCCGCACACTCTTTTTCACAAGGGGAAACGGAGGTCCGCGAGCCCCGTTATTTATCGAGGATCCGAAATGGGGAGCGCACTTTCATCGAGCGGGCGCGCGCGAAACGCTCATTTGCCACGCCGAAATCGACTTCATTCATTTTCCATCGAACGGAAATCCGCCAGCCCCCTTCAAAATTGGCCCCAGGGACAAGTTCACCTAGGAAAAGAAGCCCTGGGCTCCCACCCTTTCCGGGAATAATTTCGCCGGCCCTCTTCAAGTCGATTCTGGAGGGGGATAAAGCTATTACAAGAGACTACTAAAAGAGAACCCTGGGCCGACGCCGTTTTTGGGAAACATGATCGTCCCACGAACCCGGAAAGGAATATAGACATGTAAGGCATGGCAACGCTTCAAAAACACCGGATTGGGCGACGGGCAAACGAAATGCTGAGTGTATCGATCTGGATGTACCGTTCCGAGGGCTGTGCTGTGCTGCGTTGTGCTGAATTGCGATGTGCCATGCCGCGATTGTGCTCTATAGCGTTGTGGATCGAGTCCTCCTTTGCATCCGAGTCCTGACCGAACTGATCTGGATCTTAAGCTCGAGCTACCTCAGCACATAGTAGCTGCCCCAGAGCTAATGGACAGGGGAGCATGGCAGGAGGACGCGCCTCGGAACGCCCCAAGGGACGCGCCAGGCGACGTGCCAGGAGACGTGCCACGGGGACGCACCGCGGGACGTGCCGAGGGGACGCGCTACGGAACGTGCCAATGGACGTGCCACGGGACGCGCTCCCAGGGCCACGATCCCTTGTTCCCTACCTAGGCTCTGCCTAGAAGGGTTCTTACTGTGTGTGCTTAAAGGGCCGGGCAGTGGACCCCACCCCGGGCGGTTCCCCTGGCATCCGCCCCGCGGTTCCCCCAGTCCCCTGGGAGCTTCAGCTTTAGCTTTAGCTTTAGCTTTAGCTTTAGCTTTAGCTTAGCTTTAGCTTTAGCTTAGCTTTAGCTTAGCTTTAGCTTAGCTTTAGCTTAGCCTTTGCTTAGCTTTAGCTTAGCTTTACCTTACTTGTAGCTTAGCTTTAGCTTAGCTTTAGTTTAGCTTTAGCTTAGCTTTACCTTAGCTGTACCTTAGCTGTACCATATATTTAGCTTAGCGTTAGCTTAGCTTTAGCTTAGCTTTACCTTAGCGTTAGCTTAGCTTGAGCTAAGCTTTAGCTTAGCTTTGGGTTAGCTTCAGCTTAGCGGTAGTTTAGCTTTAGCTTAGCTGTAGCTTAGCTTTAGCTTAGATGTAGCTTAGCTTTAGCTTAGCTTTAGCGTAAGTTTGGCTTAGCTTTAGCTTAGATTTAGCTTAGTGTTAGCTTTGCTTTAGCTTAGATTTAGCTTTAGTTTAGTTTTAGCTTAGCGTTAGCTTAGCTTTAGCTTAGCTGTAGCTTAGCTTTAGCTGAGCTTTAGCTTAGCTTTGCCTTAGCTTCGCCTTAGCTTTAGTTTAGCTTTACCTTAGCTTTAGCTTAGCTGTAGCTCAGCTTTAGCTTAGCTTTAGTTTAGCTTTAGCTTAGATTTAGCTTAGCTTGACCTTAGCTTGACCTTAGCTTGACCTTAGCTTTACCTTAGCTTTAGCTTAGCGTTAGCTTAGCTTTGACTTAGCTTTACCTTAGCGTTAGCTTAGCTTTAGCTTAGCTTTAGCTTAGCTTCAGCTTAGCTTCAGCTTAGCTTCAGCTTAGCTTTAGCTCAGCTTTAGCTCAGCTTTAGCTGAGCATTAGCTTAGCTTCAGCTTAGCTTCAGCTTAGCTTTAGCTTAGCTTTAGCTTAGCTTTAGCTTAGCTTAGCTTTAGCTTAGCTTTAGCTTAGCTTTACTGTTACTACTAATGCTGCTTTCCTAGGGGCTCCAACTCCAAGGTAGGGTCGCACTGGGATAATAGATTAGGCTGCGTCCGCGCTCCCAGGGCCACGATACGTCGTAAATTACATTGGGGTCGCGCTCCCAGGGCCCCGACCCCTTGTAAATTACGCTGCGTCCGCACTCCCAGCGCCACGATCCCTCGTAAATCACCTTGCGTCCGAGGCCCCCAGGGCCCCGATCTTTTGCCGGCCCTACAGCCGTCAGAACCGGGGGTAAACACACTAAAAAAGAACCCTGGGCCCCCGCCTTTTCCGGGAAAAACCAACGAATTAGTCGAGACATCCTCGAAATTCCTGCGCGCGGGACGCGGCACGCGCGAGACATCCTCGGAATTCCTGCGCGGGACGCTTTTCCGCGTCGCGGTCGGGGCTCCAGACCTCGGTTTTTTCAATGATTCTGCCAAACATGCCCCGCACCGTTTTTTTTAACGAAAGAAAGCGGGGGTCCGCGGACCCCGTTATTTATCGAGGATCCTGGCTGGGGGGTCGACTTTCCTCGAGCGGGCATGCGCGAAACGCATTTGTTCACGCCGAATTGGACTTTACCTCGTTTTTGATCGAGCGGAAATCCGCTGGCCTCCTTCAAGTCAAAACCGGGGGTAAACAAACTGAAAGAGAACCCTGGGACGGTGCCCTTTCCGGAAAAAATGGGGATCGCAACTACACGACACCAACTCACAGCAGGCTTCGCGCGCAAGTTGCCCGAGTGACTTGGGCCTCCGCCCTCTGGGGGTCGCCGCGGCTGGCAGGTCGCCGCCGGAGCCGGCAGTCGCCCTCGCAAAAGCTGTGGTCACGAGATGCCCGGCGAGAGCGATCGGCGGTGGCAGAGCACGGGACGCCCCCTCCCCTCCGCCTCCTCCTCCTCCTCCTCCGCCTCCTCCTCCTCCTCCTCCTCCCAGAGCCGAGGCCCCCTCGAAGATGTCGGCTGGAGCCGCCTTGGCGGGAGGGACCTCCGCGGCGGTCAGGGGCGCCTCACTGTTGCCGCTCTCGAGCGAGAGCTCCCAGGGCTGCAGAGGAGCCTGCTCACAGGCTGGGAGTAGCACGATGACGAGCAGAAACAGAAGATCTTCATTGCAATCCAAGGAGAATCCACCGCCCTGCCCCCCCTGGAATGAGCCATCAGGCTGAGCGTAACGGGCCTCAGAAACTGAGCAATTTGGCCCTCATCAGTGCAACCTGGCAGTCAGTTCAGCAGCTCGGCAGTATTGCAGTCATGATTTCTGCTTGGCTACGACCAAACAAAAGTATAACCGCGTCCGACTGAGCGCAAAAGCGACAAAAGAAAACAAATCTCCAACGGCGATGTGAACTTGAGCAGGAGCCTAATGGCATGACAATATTACGCTTCTGCTGCCTCCCGGATTCTTCAGTCATGTGGGGTCAGGTCCCCTCTTCTCCACAGTAGACACATACGATAAGTGATCTTGCTATGACAGATCGGAGGGCACGAGTGTCCTCAACATGTGAAATTCCTGCGGTCCCCCAGGGCTTCTGGGGGTCCCCAGTGCGATCGGGGATAACATGATCGACCCACGAACCAGGAAAGTGATTGAGAACTGCGAGGCATGGAACCATTTCTAAAGACCTCATTTGCATATGCAACTGGGCGACGCCAGGGGGACACGCCAGGGGGACGCGCCGCGCGGAACGTCCCAAGGGACGCGCCAGGGGACGTGCCACGGGACGTGCCATGGGGACGCACCGCGGGACGTGCCAAGGGGACGCGCTACGGAACGTGCCAATGGAAGTACCAAAGGACTTGCCAGGGGACGCGCCGCGCGACGTGCCAGAGGGGACGCGCCACGGGACGCGCCACGGGACGCGCCAAGGAACGTGCCACATTGCAAGGTTGAGTGTACCGATCTTGATGTACCGTGCCAAGGGCTGAGCTGTGCTGCGCCGAGCTGACTTGCGATGTGACATGAAGCAACTGTGCCCTCTAGCGTTGTGGATCGAGTCCTCCTTTGCACCCGAGTCCTGACCGAACTGATCTGGATCTTGAGCTCGAGCTGCCTGAGCACATAGTCACTGCCCCAGACCTAATTGACAGGGGGACATGCCAGGGGGACGCGCCGCGCGGAACGTCCCAGGGGACGTGCCAGGCGACGTGCCAGGGGATGTGCCATGGGGACGCACCGCGGGACGTGGCATGGGGACACGCTACGGAACGTGCTGGGGACAAGCGTTTCGCTCGAGACGTCCTGCCCAAATCATCGTGATAGATTTCCGCCTGGGCGACCTGGGCACGTGAAAACAAGCGTTTCGCTCAACACATCCTCAACACCTCCTCACGCTTGACGTCCGCCTGGGTAACCTGGACAAATCAATACAAATGGTTCGCTCCAGACATCCTTAACACATCTTCATGTTAGACGTCCGCCTGGGCGACCTGGACACTTGAAAACAAGCGTTTTGCTCAAGACATTCTCAAGACATCATCATCCTAGACACCCGCCTGGGCAACCTGGACATGTGCAAACAAGCGTCTCGATCGAGACTTCCTCAACACATCCTCATGCTAGACGTCCGCCTGGGCGACCTGGATGCGTGAAAACAAGCGTCTTGCTCGAGACATCCTCAACAAATCTTCATGCTAGACATCTGCCTGGGCAACCTGGACTCGTGAAACCAAGCGTCTCGCTCGAGACATCCTCAAGACCTGGGCACGTGCAAACAAGCATTTCACATGAGAGATCCTCTGAATTCGAGTCCCCAGGAGAGGAACACTCTATAACACAAAACAAGCGCTTCGCTCGAGACATCCTCAAGAAGTTTGGACAAACAAGCGTTTCGCTCGAGACGTCCTCAAAAATAATTCCGCCTGCCCTCTTCGACCTCGTCAGTTATCGCAGAATAATTCCACCGGCCCTCTTCAAGTCGAGGCCGTCGTGAACCAACTAAAAGAGAACCCTGGGCTTACGCCCTTTCCAGCAAACATGATTGACCCACGAACCCGGAAAGGAATGTAACATGATCGACCCACGAACCCGGATAGGGATATGGAAATGTAAGGCATGGCAACGTTGTCAAAGACACCTGATTGGGCGACGGGCACTTGCAATGCTCAGTGTATCAATCTTGATGTACCGTGCCGAGGGCTGTGCTGTGCTGCGCCGTGCTGACTTTCGATGTGCCATGCCGCGATTGTGCTCTCTAGCGTTGTGGATCGAGTCCTCCTTTGCATCAGAGTCCTGACCGATCTGATCTGGATCTTAACCTCGAGCTGCCTCACTCAGCACATAGTAGCTGCCCCAGAGCTAATTGACAGGGGGACATGCCAGGAGGACGCGCCGCGGAACGTCCCAAGGGACGCGCCAGGCGACGTGCCAGGGGACGTGCCATGGGGACGCACCGCGGGACGTGCCAAGGGGACGCCACGATCCCTCGCAAATTACATTGGGGTCCGCGCTCCAAACGCCACGATCCCTCGTAGATTACGCCGCGTCCGCGCTCCCAGGGCCTCCTGGGGCTCGCTGGGGCGCCCAGGTCCTTCAAGTTTTGCAAAACAAGCGTTTCGCTCGAGACGTCCTCATTTTTTTGGCGCGGGGGGGTACCATCCTCGAGCGGGCACGCAAAAACTCAACATTGTCATGCTTTCCGCGCCGCGAAACAAGCGAATTAGTCGAGACATCCTCGAAATTCCTGCGCGCGGGACGTGGCACGCGCGAGACATCCTCGGAATTCTTGCGCGGGACGCTTTTCCGTGTCGCGGTCGGGGCTCCAGACCTCGGTTTTTTCAATGATTCCCCGTACCCTCTTTTTTCACGAAGGAAAACGGAGGTCCGAGGACCCCGTCATTTATCGAGGATCCGAGGTGGGGGGTCGACTTTCCTCGAGCGGGCACGCGCGAAACGCATTTGTTTCACGCGGAATTGGATTTTACCTCGTTTTTAATCGAGCGGAAATCCGCCGGCCTCCTTCAAGTCAAAACCGAAGGTAAACACACTAAAAGAGAACCCTGGGACGGTGCCCTTTCCGGGGAAAATATCGCCGGCCCTACAGCTGTCGACTCCGGGCGTAAACCTCTAAAAGAGAACCCTGGGCTCTTGCCCTTTCCAAGAAAAAGGGCACCCCTGCGGCAAACGGCCCCAAACAGACTTGCACATTTTCGATAGGGGCCACGATAGGATGGTCACGATGGTGGGCCATGATGGGGGTCCACGATGGTGGGATCGGGATGGGGATAGGGATATGTAGGGCGAATGATATAGAATCAAGGATATAGGGATCGGGATATGGATCGGGATGGGGATGGGGATACGCGGATAGGGAAAGGACTATTCCGAGTTCGCCCAGGAAGGCTCAAGGCTCCAAGACGGCCCAAGATGGCCTCAAGACGGTCCAAGGCGGCCTCAAGAGGGCTCAAGACTGGCCTCTTGGAGGCCAAAACATAGATCGACATTCGGAGTGCTCGGGTTCTTGCCATTCCGGCCTTCCTACAGCCGAAGAAGACCCCAGTGGTCTACACTATGGCCCAAGACGGCCCCAAAAGGGCCCCAAGAGGGCCCCACAGACCTCCAAGACGGGCCGAAAGCACACAACATGATCGACCCACGAACCCGGAAAGGAATATAGAACTGTAACACATGGCAGCGTTTTCAAAGACACCTGATTGGGTGACGGGCAAATGCAATGCTGAGTGTATCGATCTTGATGTACCGTGCCGAGGGCTGTGCTGTGCTGCGTCGTGCTGAATTGCGATTTGCCATGGCGCGATTGTGCTCTATAGCCTCGTGGATCGAGTCCTCCTTTGCATCCGAGTCCTGACCGAACTGATCTGGATCTTAAGCTCGAGCTGCCTGAACACATAGTAGCTGCCCCAGAGCTAATGGACAGGGGGACATGCCAGGAGGACGCGCCGCGAAACGTCCCAAGGGATGCGCCAGGCGCCGTGCCAGGGGACGTGCCATGGGGTCGCACCGCGGGACGTGCCAAGGGGACGCGCCAAGGGGATTTCGCCTGAGACATCCTCTGAATTCTGACACCCCACGAGACCCCCGCTCGAGACATCCCCCCAATTTTGCAAAACCAGCGTTTCGCTCGAGACATCCTCAACAAATTCTAAAAAACAAGCGTTTCGCTCGAGACATCCTGTCAAAATCCAAAGAAATCCTCGCTAAACAAACGAATTAGTCGAGACATCCTCAACAAATTATGAAACAAAAAAACAAGCGTTTCGCTTGAGACATCCTGCCAAAATCCAAAGAAATCCTCGCTAAACAAACGAATTAGTCGAGACATCCTCAAAATTCCTGCGCGCGGGACGCGGCACGCGCGAGACATCCTCGGAATTCCTGCGAGCGGGACGTGAAAACAAGCATTTCGCTTGAGACATCCTCTCAATTCTGGCCACCCACGAGGCTCCCGCTCGAGACATCCCCCCAATTTTGCAAAACCAGCGTTTCGCTCGAGACATCCTCAACAAATTCTGAAAAACAAGCGTTTCGCTCGAGACATCCTGCCAAAATCCAAAGACATCTTCGCTAAACAAACGAATTAGTCGAGACATCCTCGAAATTCCTGCGTGCGGGACGCGGCACGCGCGATACATCCTCGGAATGCCTGCGCGCGGGGCGTGAAAACAATAGTTTTCGCTTGATACATCCTCTCAATTCTGGCCACCCACGAGGCTCCCGCTCGAGACATGCCCCCAATGTTGCAAAACCAGCGTTTCGCTCGAGACTTCCTCAACAAATTCTGAAAAACAAGCGTTTCGCTCGAGACATCCTGTCAAAATCCAAAGAAATCCTCGCTAAACAAACGAATTAGTCGAGACATCCTCTAAATTCCTGCGCGCGGGACGCGGCACGCGCGATACATCCTCAGAATTCCTGCGCGCGGGGCGCTTTTCTGCGTCGCGGTCGGGGCTCCAGACCCCATTATTTGTCGAGGATTCTGCGAAAAACGCTCCGCACCCTCTTTTTTACAAGGGAAAACGGGGGTCTGCGGACCCCATTTTTTATCGAGGATCCGAGATGGGGGGCGCACTTTCCTCGAGCGGGCTCGCACGAAACGCACT